CCTGTTGATGGGCCTCCTTTAGGTCAGATAGCCACCCATTGTCCAGTTAGGAGATGCTTGTCCACAAGGAATGTACTGCGCCCAGCCCTGCTTCCTTGACAGAGGCTTTGGGCTGGGTGGTTCCAGCCAGAAATGGACACTGGGTGTGGTGAACACCGCGGTTGACATATCTGAGGTACTGAGAAAACACGATGAATTGCTTGTCATACTTGAGGCACTTGGCTAGGGCTTCCTGACTTTCTCCTCTTGGACTCCCAGTGCCTCCAGAAATGTCTACTGAAGCTGTGTGGAGGAGGTTTGCTCCTTTCTCCACACCTCATTGTTGCCCATGCCCAGGTAAGGAAGCGGGCACTGTCCAGGGTGGTGCACTGGGGTTAGTGGAATCGCGAACTGTCTCAAGGGGCAAGGGAATCCCTGAAGGTAGGTTATGGTGGGCTTGCTCCATGTGTGCCCACCACTTCACTTCTACGTGCTTCACACCAGAACACACGTGGTAGGGAAGGTGGTAAGTTTCTGCAGCCTCTAAGGGTTGGGAGGCCCCTGGTTGAATGAGGAGTGCCCTGGGTGGGTGTTAAGAGAGCAGGTTTCCAGGTCTGGCTCAGCCACAGGATGTGGGGCATGGGTAAGTTACTTGGCCTCTCAATGCCTCATGATGATAAGCCCCACTCATAGCTTCTTTATAGGCTGGCATAAGAACTGAGGGCTCTGCGTTCCCTAGCTGGGGGTGTGCTGTAATGCTGAGGATTATTACAAACCTTGGGTGTGTTTCTGCCTGGGGATGGCCCAAACAGTGGTTCTCAAACTTAAGTGTGCCTGAGACTTGATAGGTCTGGGTGGGCCTGGGGAATCTGCATTTCTAACAAGCTCCCTGACAGTGTTCACGCTGCTGGTTCCTGGACTAGCAAGGGTAGGGGAATAGCAAGGCACTAAACTATGTGATCCTTTCTCCATCAAGGGTTCTCTGGGTTTGTTTTCCTGGCTGTTTCCTAGGAAGCCTTTATTCAGTGGAGGGAAGCTAGGAGTAAGAGAACTATCTTCTATTCTGTGCCAGTGTCTCACATACACTGTCTAAATCAGGTCCCACAACAGCCCTTAGGAGGCCAGTGGTATTCTCATTCCACAGAGAAGAAAACTGAGGCACAGAGAAGTTGAAAGTTGTTCACAGTCACACAGCAAGTACCAGAATCAGGATTCAGACCCAGGTCTTTCTGACTCTAATGCCGATAGTAGCTGCTTCTCTATATTACAGCTCTCAAACTTCGCTCTAGTGAAAAATCACTCATTGCCTTGTTAGACATGCAGGCTTCTGGGCCTTGCTCTCACATTCTGATTCAGTAGGTCTGGGCAAGTCAAGGGAACAGCATTTTTTATTTAAATCACCCCACATGATTCTATAGCTGAGCATCTGCCAAGCTCACCTAGAGAACGGGAGGACTCCCATGCTGCCTCATATGACACTTCAGATACAAAGCTTTAGTACAAATTCTCAAATGTCAGCATGTATTAGAATCACCAGGGGAGCATGTTGAAATACAGGTCCCTGGGCCCCACCCTCAAAAAGTCTGAATGCGTAGATCTGAGATGGGCCCAAGAATTTGCATGTCTCACAAGTCCTGGCTGATGCCGATGCTGGAGATCTGGGGACCTCACTTTGAGAGCCAGTCTCCTAGAAGCTCGCTGCCATAAGGGTGATCCATGGACCAGTAGCATCAGCCTCACCTAGAAGCTAATGCAGTATCTCAGGCCTCATCCCACACTTAATGAGTCAGGATCTGCATTTGACATGATCCCCATGTGATCTGTGTGCACCTTAAAGTTTCAGAAGTGCTGCCTCAGAGAAACCAGAATGAGGTGATGCTGGGGATGGAAGTAGATGAAGAATCTCTCTTCCCATAGAGTCTGACAATGCAACGAAGAGGGGCCAGCTGTTAGGATGTGCATCCAGAGGGGCTGATGAAAACAGTTGAGCAGTGAGACTTGGGAAGGATAGAGGACTCTTGCCCAATAAAGGTGGAGGGAACAGAGGACAATTCTGAGGACAGGATGTAGGCCTCAGAGGAAAGGCAGCATCAGGCATTCATCTTGGCCATAGAACCATAGGTGGGGAGAGGGAATTTGATTGAGTGCACAGCGGTGGGGAGGGGGTGCACTGGGGCTGAACCTCTAGCTAGGAGAATGGTGGCTGCGGGGAATGTGATGGGTGAGCGCACATCTGAATCAACAGTGTGCTGAGCCTCTGGGAGGGCCAGCTCAGGCAGGAAGCAGGAGTCTGTAGGCAACAGACAAGGCCAGTGTTTTGACTGCCCTGCAGTGCTAGTCACAGAAAAAACCAGCAGCCATGCAGGAGGATAGAAGGGGCTGTGAATGGGCACAGGTCACAGTGGGCCAGGGTGGACACAGTGGGAAGTTCAGGGTGTGTGGGGGCTTAATTAGAAGAGGGAGATCCCTCAGGAGGCTGAAATGTACTCTCTTCTTCCTTTGTGTGTTTGAGAAGCCAAAATCGAAGCATTTGACTGCTCAGAGATGTTAAATTGTAATGGGGTGTTGGGAGGACCTTTATTGTAAGATGGTGGGGTGTGTCGGGTGCCTTGAGCCCCCAGAATTCTCCAACCTTGGCCCCTGCACATACAGCTAAGTGAGGGAGGCTGGGAGGAACCTGAACCCAGTGCTCACTCCCAGGGTGGCTGCCTGTCTTCTTGTTGGTCCTGTGTCTTCTAACAAACGGCCTGCTTTCATCTCTAGGAAGAGTTCCCCTAGTGTTGGGAGTCCCCCTCGCAGCTGAGCCCTTCTCAAGGATCAAGGAGAAACAGGAAACAAGTGTACTTACCTTAAGGGCTTTGGGTCTGGGTAACACACAACTGTCCTCTCATTCCACTAAGAAACCATGGTAGGTGGGGTGAGCATAGGCTCTGGCATCAGATAGGCCTGTGTGTGAATCTCAGCCACTTGCTGTGCTGACCTTGGGCTAATTATCTTACCTCTCTGGGCCTTCGTTTGCTTTCCTCTAAGCTTTTTAAGGTCAGGGACCCTGCATCTTTTTTGCCACCCTCTCTGGCACCTAGCAGTGTGCAGGGCAGGTAAGTTCCTGTAGAAGTCTGTGGAGTGAAGGAAGTAGACCCACCTCCTACCCCGCCGACCCCCAACACACAACTCGTGGCCACTTTGCACAAGGCACTATCCTTGACCAGGCTTGCTTGGCTAGTATAAGAATGAGCGAGGCTTATTATAAAATGAACAAAACTTATGGTTCCCTCAGAAAGAAGGCACTATACCAGGAAAGAACAAGAATTTCTTGATTCCCTTCTATGCCAAATATTGGGAAAAAGCATATTCTTGACAACTGTTTGTCCAGGGAGGGGTGAGCATGCTACTGCGCCCACCAAGGCCAGGTGCCCCTCTCCTTCTTGCACCCTCCTCCTCTTCACTTTCTCGGCACTTGGAAGAGCAACTGCCAGATGCTGCCCGTTTGGAAAAGTACAGCTCAGCAGATATGAATCAGCTTGGGCTGGTGAAGAATGATTCACGTCTGACCAACTTGACTTAGTTCGTGTTGTCCATTCTGAATCTTTTTTTCCCTTCTAATTAAGTGATGATTGGTCTCAGTAGAGAGCGAAGAGGCTGAATTTAATCTGTCTGTCTTTGTGGAAAGCTGGGGACAGGATGGATAAGGGGAGAAGCATTCCCACTGGTTACGCGTTCATGCTGATGTTGAATGGCGGTGGTATTCGTCATGCTGGCACCTTGAAGGACACCTCTTCAGGGCTGTGCAGCCTGGTGACAATTACCAGTCCTGCTTTTACCATGTTCTCCACCTGAAAATTGGTTAATGATGCCCATTTCTGACATGTCCCCAGGGAGTACACGAAGACTTAAGCTTAATTAACCTACCAGACATAGCTCTTTAATCACTGGGCACAGATAGGGCTGAAGAGAGGCGTGGTTATAAAAATACCTCCCTTCCCATCTCTCATCACTTACTTTCAAGCCCATGGTGCTGACTTCTCTTGTTGCTGCTCAATTATGTTCCTGCTCTGGGCTGGTTTGCCCAATCCCTTATGTTTCCTGTATCTTACGGCAGCTTAGCTGCTCAAGCCCTTGGGCTTGAGAACCCTGTTTATCTTCTTCTCCCTCCCTGCAGTGACATCTCTTCATCTGAGCCTTGGTTGTCACTCACAAGCACCCTCTGTGCAGGACTGTACTAGGTTATAAGGATAATAGCAATAGACTGAATATCCACCAGGTACCAGGCACTTTATCTCATTTGGTCTTCTCAGCGACCCTCTGAAATGGGTTGCAATGTCCTCATTTTACTGATGGGGAAATGGTGGCTCAGAGAAGCAAGGTTCCCTGAAGTCACAGTCGCGAGCTAAGTGGCCAGAGTCAGGAGTCAGGCTCAGACATGACTTCAGAGCCCATACTCCTTCTAGTGAACAACGTCTCCTCTGGTGAACAGGGGTTGGTTAACGGCAGATCCACTGGGCCTTCTCCCTGGTGGGCCTTTGTGAGGTGCCTAGGGGTTGAAACAGTCTTCTCCCAATGATCTGTGCCTTCCCCACATTCATGACAGTGCTATAAACCCTGCTTATTATTAATAAGGTAGAGGAAAAAAACCAGCAAATGAGGTGGATTGCTATTCATAGGGATGCGAGCTCCAGGAGGGATAAATACAAGCAGTTCTCTCCTGAAGTATAAATAGAAGACTTCACTCATGAGTAGAGTAAGACACATGTTGGGGCTAAGTGAGGTTAGTGCTGGAGTGGATTCCTTCGCATCTGCTCTGCTTCTGTCCCCTGAGCTTTTTCCTGCTAGTAACTTTCACTGAAGAAGAAGGGAGGCCCCACTCAGTGCCCTGGATACTTCCTTAGGGTCTGTTTGTGATTCAAGAAGGCCCTTTCCTCATGCCACTAAGGCAGTCCCTTCCAGTGTGTGCACCTTGGGCCTTTGCTGTTCAGTTCTCAGCAGGTACCTTCCCTAACTTTATCGCTCTCTTTCTTTCCCAGGTGTTGACTTTAAGATGAAGACCATAGAGGTGGATGGCATCAAAGTGCGAATACAGATTTGGTGAGCTGGGTAGGGGGAGGCGGCAGGTGTAGGAGGAGAGGCCCCTGGGCTGAGCCCTAGCTGCCACCGCCAGGTGTAAAAATTCCAAGGCCTCATCTGGGGAAACTGGGCACCTCTTATGTAAAGAGAAGCAGAAGTCTTAAAGCCCATCTTCTGCTAGGAGCCTTAATCTCTGATCTCTTTCCTAAGAAACTTTATGGGACCATAGATCACCAAAAAGCAGGAATTAGAAGGAACCGGCAAACTAAGCACTGTGGGTTCGTCTCAGAATAAGGCTGTACCTGTGGGCTGTGCCGAATGGGTAGGATTAGGAGGGCCGCCAGTTACCCCATCATTTCCAGTGGGAGCCTGGTGGGAGTCCCTTGGGACGGCACGTGCAGTTCCCAATGTGGCCACAGGGGGCTGATCCAGCTCTGGCCTGATGCTCCTGGGAGCATTTGGAGCTGCCTCCCAATTTGAGAATGAATGGTATGGGCGGTGCCTTCAGTGCAGCAGGCCATCCTTCTTGGATACCATGGCCAAATTCTAGAGAGTTGTCCAAGACCCAATGATGGTTGTGGCCCCTACAGATAGAGTTGACGAGGCCCCATAAGCCCTGTCAGCACCAGATAAGCAGGCCTCTTTTCAGCAGATCAGGTATGTTCACATCCCCTCGGGGACCAAAGATCCACTGATTTTTCACCCTTCAGCCCCCCAGTTTTCCTGCAAGGGCACTGGGTCTCCCAGCTCTTGCACCTCCCCTCCCCACCTGCCTCTGGGGTCCCTGCACCTCTAAGGGACTGGCTTTCTACCGCAGGGACACGGCGGGGCAGGAGAGGTATCAGACCATCACAAAGCAGTACTACCGACGGGCGCAGGTGAGCCACCATTTTCAGGGTTTAGAGGTGAGATGCTGCCACCCACCTCCCCAGCTCTGGGTGTTTAAGGTATCTGCACCACTGACCCCCAGAGCAGGGCCCACAGATTGCCTGCCAGGGAGGGCAGCTGCCGGGTGGTCTTCCAGTTGTTCATTGTTCATTCATTTGTCCATTATCCTCTGAGCTCACGCTACAGGCAAGTCCCCACCCTCTCCCTCAACTTCCACCTCCACCATGGGCCAAAGACCCAGGGCAAAGTACTTTGTGCCTTCCTACCTCAGAGAGTTCTGTGATAGGCCTAGGAAGCCATAGCTCTGGGGTATGAGAAAGAAGACTTTCTGGGTGCTGAGGGCTCCTCACTATACTAATCAGGGAGAAGGGAGAGTGGGACCCAGCATTTAAGGTCCCACCCTCACTTGTGGCCCCATGAATATGCACTGTCTCTCTGTGCTTCTCCCGCCCCCATCTCTCGCTCCTTCTCTCTCTCAGGGAATATTTTTAGTCTACGATATTAGCAGCGAGCGCTCTTACCAGCACATCATGAAGTGGGTCAGTGATGTGGATGAGGTAGGAGATGCCACCTCACTGCCGGGGGTGGGGAAAGGGCACCTCAGAGGGGAAGGCAAAGTGAGGGCCAGATGGGACGGGCTGAAGCTCTTGGGGTTGGCGGGCAAACACTACCAGGACAACTTGGCTTCCACAGCCCTGGACGAAGACCTCTGGGTGAGTAAGACATGGGGAGCAAGCCCAAGCTACCATGCCCTCCGTGCTTTGCTCCCTCCAGGCCTATGGCTGTTTCTTCCCCGGCAGGGAACTTAGGTTGAAGCCTACCCTGTCGCCAGCTTCCTTTTTGAAATCTCAGGACCTGGTGGCATTGTGAGACTGGGTTATCATTTTGGCTCTGCCACAGTAGCTGTGGAGCCTTGGGGAAGCCTTTTGACCCCTCTGAGTGCCCAGTTCCTCCTCTGTAGAATGGGGGTGGACTAAAGTCATGTGTCCTCTAGCTCAGACCCCAGTTGTCCATCCCAAGGAAGCACCAGTAGTAGAGGTCTCCTGTCCTAAGCTGTCCCCACAGTACCCCTCTGGGGCCCCTGGGGTCAGCCATGGTACTTGGGGGAGCCTGGCATCTGTACCCAGTAAGCCGACTTGCCCTTGAGCTCTTAAGCTTGGTGCTGGTGTGGAGGCCAGTGTAGACTTTGGTGGGGAGATGGGAGGGAAAGGTAGCACTCACTGGCAATTCTGCCTGTCTTGTCCCTAGTATGCACCAGAAGGTGTCCAGAAGATCCTCATAGGGAATAAAGCCGATGAAGAGCAGAAACGGCAGGTGGGAAGAGAGCAAGGGCAGCAGGTAGGTGGGAGTAAGCTGGCCGGATCCATCCCTGGGCCTCCCGTTGCCTTCCAGGGCCAGTCATGGATGCTGGGACCCAAGATTCTGTCAACATCATCAGGCACCCTGACACTCCCATGGCACCCGGAGATACTGCATGAGCTGCCATCCTTGTGGGTTCACTTTCTGTCCTTCAGGACAGTGACTGGGGTCCATCCTGAAACAAAGACCTCTGGGGCAGCAACTTCCCAGCTCCCAAGTTTCCCACAGCAGGATGACCCTCTGCTTAAGAGTTCATCTGGTGCCAGTGAAGAGGAAGGACTCAGAGTTGATGACTGCTAGCAGCACCCAGGTGTGGCTGCTCTTACAGCCATCCCATCCCCTCCACATCCCCTCGCTCTTCTCCTTATGCCTGGAATGGAGGGGCCATGGGGCAGAGAAGGTAGGAGGATAGTGCTGAGGGAATGTCCTAGCATAGAGGGAGCCCATTCTCCCAGAGAGCAGAAAGAAAGATGGATACTGAGACTGAGTCACCCACCCACTTCATGGGCCTCAAGAGCCTTTCTCTCTCTCTTCAGTCAATAGCATTCCATTAGCACTTAAAATAAAATGGTTTTTTTGGTATTAAAAAAATAATACATAGTCATTAGATAATTTGCAAGTAGAGGCAAACCCTAGTAGAATGATAGTATTTACTGAGCATTCCATGTGTGGCCCTGTGCTCAGTAAGTGCTTTGAGATACATGACCCTTTTATTTTATTTTATTAAGGTATCATTGATATACAATTTTATGCTCACATTTCACATGAGCAACATTGTGGTTACTACATTCCCCCCTATTATCAAGTCCCCACTACATACCCCATTACAGTCACTGTCCATCAGCATAACAAAATGCTAGAGTCACTACTTGTCTTCTCTGTGCTATACTGCCTTCCCTGTGGCCCCCCTATATTATGTGTGCTAATCATAATGCCCCTTAATCCCCTTATCCCTCCCTTCCCACCCTAGTATGCACCAGAAGGTGTCCAGAAGATCCTCACAGGGAATAAGGCCAATGAAAAGCAGAAAGGCCCTCTCCAACCCCTTTCCCTTTGGTAACCGCTAGTCCATTCTTGGGTTCTGTGAGTCTGCTGCTGTTTTGTTCCTTCCCTTTTTGCTTTGTTCTTATACTCCACAGATGAGTGAAATCATCTGATACTTGTCTTTCTCCATCTGACTTATTTCTCTGAGCATAATACCCTCTAGCTCCTTCCATGTTGTTGGAAATGGTAGGATTTGTTTTCTTCTATGGCTGAATAATATTCCATTATCTATATGTACCACATTTTCTTTATCCATTCATCTACTGATGGACACTTAGGTTGCTTCCATTTCTTGACTATTGTAAATAGTGCTGCGATAAACATAGGGGTGCATATATCTTTCAAATCTATGATCCTGTTTTCTGAGGGTAAATTCCTAGGATGGAATTCCTGGGTCAAATGGTGTTTCTATTTTTAGTTTTTTTGAGGAACCTCCATACTGCTTTCCACAATGGTTGAACTAATTTACATTCCCACCAGCAGTGTAGGAAGGTTCCCCTTTCTGCGCATCCTCCCCAGCATTTGTTGTTGCTTGTCTTTTGGATGTTGGCCATCCTAACTGGTGTGAGGTGATATCTCATGTGGTTTTAATTTGCATTTCCCTGATTATTAGCGATGTGGAGCATCTTTTCATGTGTCTGTTGGCCATCTGAATTTGGAGAAGTGTCTGTGCAGATCCCCTGCCCATTTTTTAATCATGTTATTTGCTTTTAGGGTGTTGAGGCGTGTGAGCTCTTAGATATTTTGGATGTTAACCCCTTATCAGATATGTCATTTATGAATATATCCTTCCAGACTGTAGAATGCCTCTATATTCTACTGATGGTGTCCTTTGCTCTATGGAAGCTTTTTAGTTTGATGTAGTCCCACTTGTTCATTTTTGCTTTTGTTTCCCCTGCCTGAGGAGATATGTTCATGAAAAAGTTGCTCATGTTTATATTCAAGAGAGTTTTGCGTATGTTTTCTTCTAAGAGTTTTATGGTTTCATGACTTACATTCAGGTCTTTGATCCATTTCAAGTTTACTTTTGTGTTTGGTGTTAGACAGTAATCCAGTTTCACTCTCTTACATGTAGCTGTCCAGTTTTACCAACACCAGTTGTTAAAGAGGCTGTCATTTCCCCATTGTATATCCATGGCTACTTTATCATATATTAATTGGCCATATATGTGTGGGTTTATATCTGGGCTCTCTATTCTGTTCCACTGGTCTGTAGCTCTGTTCTTGTGCCAGTACCAAACTGTCTTGATTACTGTGGCTTTGTAGTAGAGCTTGAAGTTGGGGAGCATAATCACCCCCGCTTTATTCTTCCTTCTAAGGATTGTTTTGGCTATTTGGGTTCTTTTGTGGTTCCATATGAGTTTTAGAACTATTTGTTCTAGTTCATTGAAGAATGCTGGATACATGACCCTTTTTAATCATTTCACAACTTTGGTTGATAGATACTCTCTCCCCACCCTGCCAGATGACAATGCTGGGGCTTAGAGAAAAGTAACCTGTCAAAGATGGTACAGCTGTTAAGTGGTAGCACTGGTATTCAAGTCTGGGTCTGACTCCAGAGCCTGTGTTTTTAATTCACTGGACATACTGCCACCATGTTCTGGTATCTTTGCATCCGGACACAGAACATGAAGTAGTGGGGGCATAGTGTGTGTGTCTGTGTGCGGGGAGGTGGGCTGTGTATTTGTGGGGCATCTTCTCCCATTCTCTGCTCACCTGTGTCTTAGAAGGAGTTCGTTCACCGTCTTGTCCAAAGAGTCATCTCTTCTGAGGAATTGTCACAACACAGCATAGGCTGTGAGTGCAGTAGAAGAAGTATGTGCCAGGGACTGTGGGCACCTCCCTTCCGTTACTGACTCCCTTTCAGGAATGTTCGTCTTTTGCAGCTGGCTAAGGAATATGGCATGGACTTCTATGAAACAAGTGCCTGCACCAACCTCAACATTAAAGAGGTGAGAGCTTTGGATCCCAGTCCAGCAGAGAGGGGAGGTGAGGAGAGGGGGGCAAAGAGGAGCCTGGCCCCTTGGGCAGTTACAGGACTGCGAGGGGAGGGGGCAGCAGACTAATGCGTGTGCCTTGGTTTCCCAGTCTTTCACGCGTCTGACAGAGCTGGTGCTGCAGGCCCATAGGAAGGAGCTGGATGGTCTCCGAACACGTGCCAGCAGCGAGCTGCCATTGGCAGAGCTGGAGGAGGATGTGGGCAAACCTGAGGGCCCAGAGAACTCTTCAAAAACCTGCTGGTGCTGAGGGTCCAGCGTGGTACACTCACACAATCCCCTCCCCTCCGGAGGCCTGCAGGCAGACAGGGGGCCTGGGCTTTGCCCTGCTTCTCCTCTCATGTGGGTGACCCATGGAGTACCAGTAGCTGCTGCTCCCCCTGCTGAGCCCTGAGAGCAGCCATCTCCGTGCAGCCTCTGCCCCAGCCCCTCCACCCTGGAGTGGCGTCCTCCAGCCCATTTCCCCAGCTGCAGGCATGCCATGAGCCCCAAATGTGCTTGCGAGCCTTGTCTCCCCACCCCGAGCTCCCCAGACAGTGGCCAAGCCTGGAGTCCAGACCACTTTAAGGTTCCTTTCTCAGTGCATCTCGTCTCCTCTCTGCTTTTTCTCTCTCCTTCCCACTTCTCTTTCTCTGTCCTTCCCCTCTGGTGTGTTTTGTATCAGAACCCCTCTCACCCCTTTCCCTCGTGTCCTGCTGTGTGGCTGCTGGTGCAGCTTCCTTCTTCCCTTTCTTCCAAAACCTGCCCAAGAGAGTGGACTCATGGGGCTGTGCCGTATCTGCTCCTGGGAGAACCCCAACCCCACTTTGGGGTGAGCCAAGGCTATGGGGCACTTCTTCCCCCCACCCCCCACCCCATCCAGTCTTGTGCCATGGGCCTGCCTCACTGATAATCTGGGGAAGTGGAACTTCAAGGTAGGAAGGAGACACCACAATGGTGGGCCTCGAGCCTGGGGCTCTGCTACCTCTCCCCATCCACTCCCCCAGCTTTGGCTTTGCATGGCTTCCTGCCCACCTGCCTCTTGGGGGAACTGAGCTTGGAGAAGAAACAACAATACGATGAGGGGTGGCAGGGATAAGAAGTCACCTCTGTTCTCTACCTCCCATGCAGCGTGTACATGATTTCTCCCCACCTGGGCTCCTGAATTTAAAGATGGGGACCAGGGCCTGAGGGCACTGCAGGGGCAACATCAAGGTAGGAGAGCCCTGGGGCCAGTGATACTGAAGCCAGCCACACCCCCAGGAAGGGGAGTGCTTGACAGTGAAGGACTGGCTCCTGTACATCAGGTTAAGAGCACAGGACGGCAGGCCTGAGACTGCAGTTTGCAAACCAGCTGGGAGTATGGCAGCAGCAGGGCTTCCTGGGCCCCATCTTCCATTTCATGTGTAAGAAAGGCACGTCCCCACAGCCTCCTGGCAGACGAGAGGGACATAACCACATTGGCGGGCCTACATTGAACCCACAAGGTTTTCCTGCAACCCAGAGTTTGTGGGAGTAGGGCAGGGACTTCGTAGGGAGAAGGAAAATAGGCCCTGGGTAGAAATGCTTGGTGCCCTTCTCTTCAGCAGTCAAGACAAAGTGCTCGTCTTGCCCCTCGAGCTCCTGAATAGGAGGCTTGAGGATTTGCCAACTGCACTGTGGCCACAGGTGGAGGGACACAGACTCCCTCCTCCTGAGCTCTTTGTTTAGAAAGAAGTTTCTTTAACCCCATGTGGCCTAAGAGTAGCTTGACAGAGGCCCTTGAAAGAAGGAACAGGTCAGTTACCAGTCCTAGTAACCTTCCCCACTTCCCATGGCAGAAGAAGCCTAGGGAGGAGGATCATTCCTAAGCTACATACTCTGCACTGCATGGCTGAGCCTGGGGCAAAAATGAAGACCTGAACATTCAACATTCACTAATTAAGGCCCAAAACTCAGGGCACACACATGTGAAGGATTAAAGGCCCCACTTCCTGACCCCTCCAAAAAAGGGGTGGGGAAGAAATTAAACTATCAGATCAAGAGAGACCATGAGAGGGTAGCTTGGGATATAGGAAGTGGGGATAGGTTAGCAGAGAGGAGGAAAAGGAGGAGGGTAGAGAGCTGACTCCAGGATAAAGTCCTAAGCATGGCTGGGGATGCTTCCTTAAGGACTGACTCCTTGAATATCAGGACATGCATCACCCTGGGGGGTGAGGAGGTCAATGTGCCCTCAGCCAGGGGCTTCAGAAGGCAAAGTTATATTGGGTATTGGGTCCAAAGTATGGATCACAATTGCTACTTTACACCACTGTCTTTCTCTCCTAGCTTGCTCAGGACAGAGGGATTATATTTTTACTGTACCCTAGGAATTCTAGGAGGGAAAACATGGGGTCTAGATTCTATGAACTGATTAGCCCAATCCACACAGGCCACAACTGGGGAGAGGCATAGGAGCAGGTGGAGGGTTGTGGTTTTGGGGTCCATCTCTGCTGACTAGGTATCAGAGTCAGTCTCACCCCTAAACTTCCCCAGTCAGGAGGTGGCCTGGGATCAGGCACTGGCCCAGACTGCCAAGCAGGCGCTCCTACCTGTTTACTCCTCACCACCTCTGCACCTGCTGTCTTGAGACTCAGCCCAGCCCCAGGTGCGCCACCTGCACCTGAGGCCCCCACCCCCATCTCCCTGTGAAGGTGAACTTTGTGTACTGTGTCTCGGGTCCAGTATATGAATTGTGAGCAGGGTTCATCTATTTTAAACACAAATGTTTACAAAATAAAGAATATTTCAAACCACAGGTGTGGCTGCCTATATGAGTCCCTGGGATTAGATCTCACTTGGACCTTGGCAGTTAAGGGGGATGGGGAAAGGCAGTGCTCATAGAAGAGGCTCCAGAACCCTAAGGAAGTAGCAGTAGAATGACAATGGAAGCAACAAATGTCAGCTTCCATCTTGTACCTTTCCTAATAACCACCTGCAGGGGAGCCCCAAGCTATGGCCCCATCACTCTGCATAGGCTTACACTGCAGAAGTCAGATTGAGTAGTCATTGAGAGGATGCTGAATATCTACTTCTGAAAGAGTCTTTGAAGCCAAGAAAGTTCTCATCTGTCTGGACTGGAACAGGAACAGGTCTTCCTGAAGGCATGAGGAGGGATTAAGTAGCCTTACAGAAGGTCATCCTAGCCCTGTAGATACTCCAGGGAAGCAAGGTAGGCTGGGGTCTCAGTGGTCTGGGGGTTGCTTTGGTAGGAAGCTGAGGGAAGAGGCAGGCAATTTTGGGGGGATAAAACAATGAAGAAGGGCAGAGGAGTACAACCAGGCAGGGCAATGGTAGCTGAAGATTAACTGCACTTTACAGTTCACAGAGTTCTTGTACTATTTTATCTCCTCTATCCTAACAGTTACATCTGTGTGAGATAAGGAGGGTGATTAGCTTTATGCAAAGTCAGCAGGTAAGGAAACAGGTGCCTAAAGGCCCCAAGCAACAGTGGCAGAGTTGTGGCTAGAAACCATTAGAATTGGAATCTCTGGAGGGAAAAATTCTGGTATCTCTATGTAGAAAAACCTCCATAAGCAATTCTCATTTGCACCCAGCTGTGAACCACCAACCTAGGCTTTCTGCATACTAAGCCAGTGCAGTTTCCAGAACTATTGTTCCCGTGGAAAACTGGGTCATACACTTATGCATGTTCAAAATTACAAGCTTCTGGAAAGTGGGCCAGTTTTGAGGTAAAGCTGGAGACAAAAAGGTATTTTAGGAGAGCCTCATCAATTTTATTCAATCATGGAAGGTGAGAAGTTGGGTGACTCAAAGGGTCCTAGGTTGCAGCTTTAGAAAAGGGATAGTTTAGGAAGAAGGAACCCACACTCAGCTAGGGAACCCAGTGGTCTGGAAAGAGCTCACATAATGGCAGCCAATAAGAGGTGTCTGGAAGCCCAGACAGTACTGGGGAAGCTCTAGGCATACAGGTAAGTCTGGCAAGTTCATGTTAAAACTTAGAACATTGTCAGGGCCAAGTTCTTCTGACTGTTTTTGGTAGGACATTTATTGTGTGCTAGGAACCCCACCCAGCTCAGCAGGGGACAAACTTCAATCCGCACTTCCTGCTACCTCTTCTACTAGCCAAAAATTCCATTCTCACTAAGGTAATAGAGGCTTGGTTTAGGGAGCAGCCAGCTGGGACATGATGATTTCTCGCATGCTATAAACAGCCCTGGAACAGGCTACAAAAGATAGAAAAGTTGGGCATGCCCCTGGTGTGTAGTTCCTCCATCTTCTCAACAAATCAAATTCTCAGGACTAGCTGCGCTTCAACCTTACTTATTCTGTATTCTAGGATACAGTTCCTAATGGACGGGTACCTAAAAAAACTCTCCAGTAAATATCTGCATTGTTATTAAAATACCACTTGAAAATCTCAAAGCCAGGTAAAATCTAACTGCCGGTTTTACTGATAGAGAAACCCAGTCATTAAAAAAAAATGTGATTTGGTGAGTTGGGTGCTGGGGAAGAATGAAGTGAAGCTTTAGGTCTTCCCTTGGCAGCTCTGCAAATGTCCTGCAGCACATTGCCTGCCTGGTGCTACAAACATCAAGGATGGCCTACCTGGGTCTAGAATGATAGCAGCTGTGACTCAGTGCACACTTGCTTCCATGGGGAACCAACACAAGCCCCATCTGGGAAGTCTTTGATAGTGATTGAGCCTCTCTCTGAGGAGATAAGGGGGAGCTCATTCCCTCCGAGTTTACCAACCTGTTCTGGGACTTCTCACCCTTACCACAGCCACAGCTGACAATATCCTTGTGACTCTACGGAAGCAGGTGTGGGATAGAGCATAGGATACAGTACAGTGCAGGGACAAGAGCAGATGTGTTCTACAGCACAAGGAATGTCACTTGGCTGAAAGACTTTTCAAGACAAACTTCATCTCTTCAGCTTGGTACAGGCTGAAGCACTGAAAGCCATTATTTTTACGAAATCCCACACTGATCTCCAAAGGGTCCCCTTGATTTTGTGCTTGTGGAAAGCAACAGTATTATGTATGTTTCAGTTGTAGTCCAAGTTCAGAGGAAAGGTGCGCATGTTCTTTTCCTCATCTTCCAGATCTCAGCAGACCCTGGACTCTCAGTTGCACAACTCAGAGCTTGGCACTTAGCTAGCACTCAATGAAAGTTTGTGCCAAGTGAAAACAACATGCTGGGGCAAATAGGAGTCAATCCTGTATCCCTCCCTCCCTTTTTTCCTCCCCGTTAGACCTATGGGGCTCTGGTTTCCTGCAAGTAGTGAATTATTCATATCTGCTCATAGATATCAAATTGGCTCTCCCCAGGTTGCCAGTAGAGGGCAGGGAAGCGGCTTTGTTCAGAATCTGTAAATAGGAGGAGCAACCTTGTTGAAACTGCACTTACAAGTTGGCGACTGTTTTTTGCTAAGTCATCCTGGGGAAGCTCTAAGCCCCACTGTGAGATCCTTCCTTTCCTCCTGCCAGGCTCCTCCTCCTTCCTCCCCACCCCTTTAATAGCCCCTTAAGTGGGCTCACACCACTCCACAGGGCTCACTCAGCACTCTGACAATGGCTTACATTGCAAAGTCCTTCTATGACCTTAGTGCTGTCAGCCTGGATGGGGAGAAGGTAGATTTCAATGCATTCCGAGGCCGGGCAGTGCTGATTGAGAATGTGGCCTCGCTCTGAGGCACAACCACCCGGGACTTCACCCAGCTCAACGAGCTGCAATGTCGATTTCCCAGGCGCCTGCTGGTTCTTGGCTTCCCTTGCAACCAATTTGGACATCAGGTGAGGGGTCGCTTATATGGTACCATGGAGTTGGGTTGCTAAGGGGAGCGGGGAGTGACTGTGTGTTGCAAGGTCTGGAATCATAGGTATGTTTCGTTAATCTAGGTCTTTAGCTACCTGTGAATAACAAGTGGATGTGTATATGATTCTAACTGTGATTTAAACACCAAGGGTGTGGATTGGTTTGTTGTCTGTCTTCCCACTATGCTATCTATGTGAGGGCTGATACCAGGTCTGTTTTCCTCTCCATTGTGTCCTCAGTACCTGGAGTATAGAAGGCACTCATTAAATAGATGTTGAGTGAATGAGTGGAGGAAATAGAAGATCAAGAATCAAACTAGGATTGAACTGTTTTAGGAGACCCCAGCTAAACTTGGTTCTGCTATTTAATGGCTTTGTGCTCTAGCAAGAGTCACTCAATTTTTCTTTTCTAGTTTCCTCATCAGTAAACTGAAGATAATGCCACTTATCTCATATTTTGAGATTCAGAGGATAAGATATACAAAAATAACTTGAGGATATAAAGTAATAATGCAGATACAAGTAACTTTATTATTTAGATTGAAGGATTTTGTTTGTTTTAAATCAACCAAGTGGAGAGTGAATTCAGGGGAAAGCCAAGGGTTTGCAATGTACCTGTTGTCTCCTCTGGGCATCATATGGGCCTCTCCATCTTTCTTTCATGGGGCAAGTCATTGTAGATCTTCAGTCTAGACACCTCAAGTTGTTTTTTAGGAATCCTGTTTTCACTTATTATTTTAATAGCACAAGCAGGCAGAATGTACTCAAGTGAACCCGCTAATTATAATCTCCTTAGGTCAATTCACAGTGGCATGAAGGCAAGGAAGAGAGTAGCAGAGGTATCACCAGGAAGGCAGAAGTGTCATTGGCTGTGACAAACCTGAGCCAAAACCATTCCTATTCTCCTCGTTCCTTAACTGTCCAAGTCTGTTTCTAGGCTTGGCCAAGTTAGGAGAGAGAGAAAAGGCAAAACCACATTAGACCCTAAAGACGCCGCCAGCCTTCGCTAACACTTCAGGCTAGCCAGTTGATGGAGGGAATTTATAAGCTACAGGTTGCCAGCCAGCCATTTGCATTAAGAAGGAAAATGTCTAATAGAGATCAGCTCTGGGCTCTAGATATCACGTGGCCTGAATGCCTGTACTAACTGGTTCTATCAGTCAGAGGCAGGAACTTTTTTCCAGAGGGAGACACCTGACTCTCAGTCTGTGGGGAAGGGGTGGAAAACGAGGGTTTCCATGGCCCTCTTGGAGTGTCGGGTGGGGAATGCTGAGTGGGGATAGGACAGGGATGGCAGTGGGGAGGTGCCAGGCTAAGAGCTGGAGCATTCACAGCTGAGATCAGAGGGGCAGCCACTGAGTTTCAGGGATAGGAGTCTTGGGACAGCAGTCCAGAAGTGAAAAGAATGGTAATTACACAGTCACACCCTTTGGCCCTCAAGCACATATTTCCTTAACTTTCCCTGGCCCTTTCCAGAATCCTAAACCCTCTATCCTATTTAGTTCACCCCTATTGGTCAGTAGAGTACATTCACTGTTGTCACTAACTTATTTACCTTTTGTGGTACCTGAAAACCTGAAAACCAGACTTCCTTGGATGGGATCTTATCAAAGCTTCCTCCTCCTCACACTTCAGATAAAGGACAGGGTAACATGAAAGCAAGAAGCTATAAATCCCATTCTAGGTCTGTTTCACTCATAGTTTGAGGAACTGCACAGGGCAGAGGCAAAGGCTGTACTCAACACCCACATGTCATTAGAAGGAATGGAGGCAAAACCAGGGCAGAGGCCAAAGGGATGGTGGGAGCAGGCTGTGTGT